CAACCATCATCGGGCGGTTCCGCGGAGCCGCCACTGCCGTCGCCCCACTCGGACGACGCCTATTAAATGTCCAACGACACCAGAACCGATCGTCCGCTCGCGACCCTATTACCGCCAATGACATTCAACACCGGCTCCACGAGACAGCCTTAATGGCTTGCAACTCCTCCGATACGATCTGCGTCCGGACGGCGGAGATTTAAGTATTCCATCGCGACTGATTTCAGTGATTTGCTCCCAGTCATCCATGCAGCGGGCCCCCGCACACTTTAAAACTGAAGTACAAAACCACATGGCGAGAAGCCAAGTAGGTCATGCATGGCTTTGTATTTACCCGACTCGAAGCTCTGCAAAGCCACGTTGCATGGAGTTGCCTCATGACGTGTATAAATTACTAAACACCAATTAGACTCACAGCTGGGGTCGCGGCCTCCAGCGGCAGAAGCAGCCATGTCGGCCTGGACACACACGCGACAGCGACACGGATTCTAACAGCTCATTACCGGAACAGGAGCCGCTCCAGCTTTCAGACAGCCTCCTCCGCCGTGCGCGTCCAGGACTGGCCTGCCCGAACTGAGCTCAGTCAGGGAGCAGGGCAGGGCTTCGGGAACGGAACCAGGGCTGTCCCCCGACAGGATGTTCCGTCAGGAGACGTTTCCTGATGGGGACGGTCATCGCGCATCGCGTACCAGTCACAGGGCTTCGCAGTCGGGTGTATAGCCTCGTACCAGTCACAGGGCTTCGCAGTCGGGTGTAGCCTCGTACCAGTCACAGGGCTTCACAGTCGGGTATAGCCTCGTACCAGTCACAGGGCTTCACAGTCGGGTATAGCCTCGTACCAGCCACAGGGCTTCACAGTCGGGTGTAGCCTCGCACCACTCACAGGGCTTCGCAGTCGGGTGTAGCCTCGTACCAGCCACAGGGCTTCACAGTCGGGTGTAGCCTCGCACCAGCCACAGGGCTTCACAGTCGGGTGTGGCCTCGTACCACTCACAGGGCTTCAAAGTCGGGTATAGCCTCGTACCAGTCACAGGGCTTCACAGTCGGGTGTAGCCTCGCACCAGCCACAGGGCTTCACAGTCGGGTGTAGCCTCGTACCAGCCACAGGGCTTCACAGTCGGGTGTAGGATCGTACGCAGCCAGAAGGAAACAATTGGATTGCGGTGGTCGGTTCTCCCGGAAAGCCTAGCGTTTTTGCTCTCAGCTATGTTAACCAATGCCGGACAACGGACAGCGCAGGCCCTCTGAGGGTCTTCTTGAATAATTTCTGAAACACTGCGACATGACGTCTGCATTTCCAGTACGTGAGTCGACAGCATTTGTAAACCTCGTAAAGATCAATCGGCTCTACCTTTGGTTGTCCACGGATCACCACTTCGCCCAAGGAATGTCGACAGCATTTCGCTTTCAGGCATTTGAGTATGACTGTCACAGAACATGTGTCGTAAACTGTCCCGAACTAATGTGATCGGTTTGTTACACGAGTCTGCACCTATATAAAAAATTATTAAGAGGGCGTGGTCGCCCAAGATCCAGCTGCGTCAAATTGCTTAATGCAGTAGCCAGTTGCACAGAATAATGTTTACCTCCCATGATTTGCGTTTCAGGTCACTTTGATCAATAACTGATATGGTTGGGCGAGCGGCATCAAGCGTGGTCCGTTTTGCTACCGAGCCTTGCTCAGTTCTTGAGATAAAGGGCGGAGGCTACGCACATCGAGTCTGACTCGTTCGGCCTGATTTCTTATGCAAAAGGTTTCGCCCAAGTCGGTGAGTTATTATTAGCACATGATTCAGTATGCTAATGGCCATCCATGCAAGCGTGGTTTCCTCAGCGTCCCAGCATGCTCTTCTAAAGAGAGAAAAGATAACTTCGCGAATTTTACACTCTTCACCTGGCCTAACCGATCAAATGTTACTTGCACTGGTGTTTAATGACACAAGTCAACCGTAGTTTGGTATAATCTGTTCATGACCCTGTGAGACCCTGGCCAGCAAAAATGACAGACACCCGCTCGGCAAGGGTTATGGCAACGGCAAGTCTATTCTCTCACACAAACTGGGACACGTGTTTACCTAATTGTACTCCACGAAAGCGAGTTCTGCGGAACAACAAGCGGTGGGTCCGTGGTGCTATTCGATGAGATCTGCACAGGTTACACAATTACAAGATATTCATACATCTGGCTAGACTCTGACCGAAACGTCAGGCCTTTTAACAAAAGTGGTCACATCCAGCATGTTAATAAACGTTTCACCTAGTTCACTCCACATCGATTACTATGCTTTACTCGTTGCAACTCCGATCAGTGTTTGAGGGGATGGTGATGACATCCGATTTCTAGCTGGGCATGGATTGTCGGAGGCACGTGACCCCTGACCCCTGATCCCGGTGGAGCGGAGCAAAGGCAGTTCAACGGTCAGATTTTCCTTGGACGTATCAGTCAAATACTACCGACGGCCTTTCGGCATACCATGCAAAGCCGTGACGTAGCTGCCCCCTGCCAGCCTGACCCTCTTGGCCACAGCCGGGTCACACCAGCGAGTTTTCTGCGGTGCACGTCCGGCAACTGCTACACCGTCTAACGTCCAGCGAGAGGTCTGTCCAGCTTGAAGTTAAGCGTTCGTCAGGCGAACTTTTTTGATGAGATAACATTTGTATATTAGCACTGCAGTCGTCAGCGATCGTGTTTTGGCAATGCCGAATAATGAAGCACAGTGCGGCCATCAGCATAAATCGGGCAGCGCCAGATTATGAACGGGTTCATGGTCCAGTGGCCGAGCGCGCAGAGGTCCAGGATATTGGGGACCGTAGCTCTCAGGAGGGCGGATATACATCTACAGATGTCGCGGAGCACTTCTCAGTGCCGGCCAAATGCATGGCATTAACTGATACCGGAAGCCTTTAAAGCCAAGTCACTCACGGTGTTCCACGAAAGCCCTGCCAACCAGCGGCCACCCGTCCTGCCGACCCACAGCCAGTCGCCTCTCCCAGCCACCCACTCTGCCGAGCCACACACAGCCCTCTCTCCCAGTCATCCACTCCGCTACCCCATAGCATAGTCATCCACTCCCCTATTCCCCCCCCCCCCCCACTCCACCGACCCACAGCCAGCCCAATCTGCCAGTTACTCACTTCGCCGGACCATAGCCAGCTCTCTCTCCCAGACCCCTCCCCTTACCCCGCCGACCCACAGCCAGCCCACTCTCCCAGTTACTCACTCCCAGTCCACTCTCCCCGCCACCCACTCCTCCAACGCACAACCAGCTCACTCTCCCAGTTACTCACTCCCAGTCCATTCTCCCAGCCACCCACTCCTCCAACCCAAAGCCAGCTCACTCTCCCAGTTACTCACTCCCAGTCCACTCTCCCAGCCACCCACTCCGCCGCTGCGCGGCCGGATAGTCTCTCCAGCACGTCCGCTTTATGGCAGCGCCGAACAGGCTGGCCTTCACACCGAGCGCACATATTCGGCAGCTGTGGTGCGATCAATGCTCGATACTGTTCTGCCCCGAGCCTCCACGTCAAGAGCAGCTGGGTCGTTCGTTATTTCGAGTCCCGCCTCGGCCCTTGCTTCGCTGCGTTTCCGCGTAACGCCCACTCGGCCTGTCCCGTCCATGCCACGCGCCCCCCGACCCCTTCCGCCACCAGTCCTGCAATTTGCTCTTCCGAATCGTTCACTGATCCGAGAGACAGCTGGTGCCCCGTGATTTCCACAAATTATTCCAAGATGGTACTGCCCGCCAGTGAAGTCGATGGGCGATGACGCAGTCTTATAGAGCAACGCCGTGTTGCCCGCACGTGCGCTGGCTATCTTTGGAGTGAAGCGAACTTGAGCAACGCCGTGTCGTTCAAGCGCTCAGAAAATGCTGCAAGTCGCAACTATCTGCGACACCTCAACACAGCCATGAAGTTCATTCAAAGCATGCAGTACCTACATGTACTTTGCTTCGAGCATAAGGACTTGCTCGGATGAGGGTCAATTTGGCCCCGTCGAACCTTTTTCCAAAATAACTGCTGAAAGGCGCGGTGTAGCAGCACCAAACTTTGGATGCTTGTAGGCAACTGCATACCCGATTTGCTGGTACGGAAAATTAGATGCGCTTTGCCCGGCCGCTAGGTTATAGCTGGCCAAAGTCAGGCCACGGGTGTCAGCGAAGGGAATTCGTAGAAAATCGTTCAACCTCATGTGATAGCGGAGTGTTAAACGAAGCCGGAAATATTTGAGTTTTTTTTAAACAACAAGATGAAGACCAGCAACGTCCATCCCGATGGCCCGATTGGTTAGAGCGCCTACCTTTCGATTCACCCACCCGTGACCGGGCGTCAACAGATATACAATATGCAATTGATTAAGGACATACGAGATCCTGACCTAAAATGGCACCAATGAACCTTTCTTTTTTAGGAGCACGCCGCGTAAAATAGTCCTTGAAGCTCATCTAAATTTAGGTTTCGAACAAATCTCAAAGGTTTGTTGTCGCCTGGACCTTTCCTAACGTTAAAGAAGGTCACTTGGTTGACATGAACATCAGTGCACTTTTGCTTAGAGGAGGTAGCCAGGTTAAAGGGGTTTGAATGAGAAAGTGTGAGGGCACTTCGGAAGCCAATCGGGAGTTTGACCTTTTCTGACCGCACTTCACCTGGAGGTCATGATCCAGCCGCTTAAAATTAGAAAAAGTGAGTCTACATACATGCTTACTTATCCCGTGAATTCCGAGGCTGTAACCCTCACAATTTTTTTAAATCTCAGAGGTTTAAATTGTCCCTCCTCGCCCGCTCAACCAGAGCGCATCGCGCTCAACCGGCCACCCGGTCGCATGTTAATACAACCAAGCAAGTCAGTAGCCCAAGATCTCTCCAGCCGCTACCAGCCATCGCTTCAAAACTGGAACGCCCTTTTTGGCGCCGTGTGCCCGCTCTGGGTCAGCAGGGGCCGACCCTGCAGCGTGTCGAGTCCGCCCGCGCCGCCAGCCGCCGGCCGCCGGCCGCCGGCTCACCTGCAGCGCCAGCGTCGATGGCACCATCAGCTTCTCCACGAACGCCGACAGGATGACCAGCGTGAGCGGGATGCCGATGAGCGCGAACACCACGCAGAAGATCTTGCCGCCCTCCGACAGAGGCGTCACGTGACCGTAGCCTGTGGGCCGGCGCGGTGGTTAGCGGCGGAGGGGGGGGGGGGGGGGGCGTGAAGTCACACAGCACGCGATTGCTGGTCAGCGTCGCGACGAATACGGAAACCACTTATCTTTTCCAGCCCCTGAGCTACATTTCAGGTTTTACGAATCACACAGATCCAGTGTCCAGTGAATAAATGCATCGTAATAAGCGGCATGCTGTCCGAGAGCTTGCTCACTTGTTCGTCCGAAGACAAGGTCATATGATAATTACCAGTCGCAAATAAAATGATGGCTTGCTATAACGCTTACCATAAAAGCCAAAATGAAAGGCTTGCCGTACAAATAAAATTGATTGATAACTTCCTGATAGCCTGCAATCTCCCGATATCGCCTTAGTTGTGACGCCGTCCGAGCAATGGAGCGTAAAGTGACATAACATTGCACTTAGTTTGACCGCGGGCGAGCTGGCAAACTAAGCATCAGGATAAGAGGCGCCTCTATTCAAAAGCAGTTTCATGACAATTTCCAGCAAGGCCGAAGACTACATTTACTTAACACAACAGCGTTTTACGTTTTCGTATAGATTATTCCAAATTTTGATGATGGGATTTTTCGATTGGTGATTTTTGTCATTTGAATGACCCAAACAAGCATAGAGCTCCTTCACGACATACAAATCTCAGCCGGCGACCACAGTCACCTTGAACAAGTTTGGAGATGGCTGGTGAAATGGGATTGCCGGCAGACCAGAAGCAATGAACAGCGGAGCCTTACCGGGCACAGCATCCCGTTTGACTCCGAATGGAGTCAGAGCCGACTCAGAAATCCTCAGTGTTTGCTGGGTCAACGTCGAATCGATTTCTTCAAAACATTCATGGGTCGGGAGCGGGTTTGAATGAGTCCCAGTGGATGGAATTAGTGATGATTCGAATCATGCAGAAACGTAAGTAGCAAAATATATTGTGACGGCTCTTGGAATTGCACCAAGTGGAGCACAAACTGTATATGTCATGCACCAGAAGGCCCATAGGGCGTTTCGCTTTGAGATCTTGTCACTGAAATCCCTTTCATGACTCCGAAAGCTCCAAAGGACCAATCTCTTCAGTCGGAGTCGGACTCGGCTCATAGCTGTGTCGTGATCCGCTTATATAGGTCAGAATAAACAAGCACCTCAAGCGCTGCGAGGTCGAGTCGGAATTGACTCCACAGGGGCAGAATGGACGGCAAGTCCCATAGGGCTGCGACGATATCATGCTGGCACGAAACAGTGATACGCGGCGCAGCGTTTACCCTTAACTCCCATAGATTCCCGATGCTCGCAGAAAGCAACAAAGCTCAGGCGCAACATGACCCAAGCAAATTCGTCTCAGCTATTAGTCCCAGTTATTCCATCTGTAGCAAACAGAAATCCTATAGCTGGCGTCGCATTACCCGATTTCGGACTCGTCCGCAGCCGTGCGCCGTCGCAACAGTCGGAAATCCCCAGCAGGCGTTTTTATGGCCACGCCAGGGCTTGTTGCATCTGGGAAGGCATTAGCTTGGGCACTGCGAGCATCATTTGGGCCCTGCGAGCGCAATTTGAATTCTGTGAGCGTCATTTGGCGCACGTCTTGCATGCTCCCGGTGCGCCCGAACTAGGCCCTGACGCGGCTCTCCGACCTGACGTGGCGTTTTCTGTATTGAGTCGTCTGCATCAAGTGCCGTTACATTGCGTTTCCATCGCTAGGAAACTACATAAGGTCGATGGCAACGCGGCAGCATTTTTCGCGACTTAAACGTTCTCACTGCACCTGGCATATCAAGTCGGGCCTTTCACATCGCTTGGCAAAACACACGCTCACACACATATACACACAAGCCAACGCACGCCTCCCAAGTTCATTAAAGCGCCCAAGTCAGACAGCTCGTCGGTGTCAAAACATCCCACCCAACAGGCATATGTTATCGGCGACGGCAGCCGGCAGCCGGCCGCAGTTGGTAAATACAGCGCGCCGTGAGCCGGGGCGGGCGGGACGGCCCAGCCCCGGTAGCGGCGTCTCCGGGGGCAGGGCAGGGGTTCATTGATCGGACGGGCGGCGCCGACGGCACACGGCGCGCCCCGGCGTCGCACACGCACCGTCGGCGACGCCGACGCCGACGCCGACGCCGGGCTAGGATCTGGCGCCCGGCGCGGCGGCGCCGACCCCCGCTCGCTGAACTGGCGACAGCCCGTTTTGCCGAGAACGTAGCCGGCGGCGCAAGCGTGACAGGTCATCAGGCGCGTGTCTTGGCGGCCCTGTCATATGCGTGTTTTGGCAGGGCATGCTGTGCTAATGCAATGAATGCCATACTTGCGCGTTGCTATAATCGGTCCGAACCTGATACGCCTGTGGGAAGGCGCTCGCTTTTACAGGCGCAAGGTTGGATAGAAACTATTCCCTCTCGTATGATTTGTGATGCGTAGAATGGACGCACATGAATGCAATTTCGCTAGCCTTGTATATGGTAATATGATCACTGTGCGGAGGGCAGACGGAGGAAGCGCCGCCCATAAATGATCGAGTAGTTGCAAGGAAACGTGTGAAGGCTACTCCAGCCAAACTGGTTCCTGTGTATGGTTCAGATGCATAGCTTGCGACGTAGTCGTTCACAGGTAATGCACATAACGGCAGACGCTTTACGAGATATTACTGAGATATTGCGGGGCACGTCTAAAACACTGGGATCTCGTCAACATTAAGACACTCGTAACACCTTCAGAAAGATCGTTAAATCGTGACATAAGGTAAGTAGTGTTCACTGATTAGCGAGTTCTTCCAAACCGGTGAGCTATTCATTATTGCGCATGCGTACAGCAAACAGCACAGCCTTAGTTGTTGGATAGCGGGCAGCATGGGCGGCTGTCATCCCTCGCGAAATGCGGCATTATTGTAGTAGGCACGAATGGATCAAAGGGATCAACCGCTAATGTCACCTGCTTCATGGATACATTCGTGTTTAATAAAAGATAGAAAGGCTTTCAGCGCCGGCTTTTTTGCAGTATGAGTGCAGAGTTCTTGCACTGAGTCATCTGCTAATGGATAATGTAACATGGATGTGGTTATTTGGATAATCGTAAGAGCTCGTATACTCTGGATCTTATGCGTACATTGTCAAAAGGCCAACCATCAAAGGAAAACATTTCCCACTTTCACTGGGTCTTCTTCATTCAATGGTACCTGTACCCGGTGGCGTACCTCCATGGTGGATATTGCCGAATGCAATCTAATCAATTGGGCAACTCGAAATCAGCTGCATAACCAATGCATACATGACCTGGGAAAATACGGAAGGGTATGTTCGTTTTCGTGGAAACTTTTTCGGTGTGCGTGGTTGCAGCAAAAACAGCACCGGCTTCCACGCCCCAATGAGCACGAACAAACTGGCAGAAATATATGCGCGAAAGGTCCCGAAAAGATGTGGTATCGTTTCACAAGTGTTTCACATTCGGGTGACAGAACTGTGTCCCTAGTGATAGCGCGTAGCTGCACCCACCGCCGACTGGCGAGGAAAAGGCAGCATCAATGGTGGTGATTGGTGCAATACGCGTTACGTCACGGGCTGGCAGGGAACTGCAAAGGCAAGCGGCGTGCTGCGTTCAACGGCTAATTACGCAAGACATGTGCCATCATTAGACCCTTGAGGCCACTGCGGAGGAAAAGACGCATTCACGGGGGACGTATTCTTCAGGCCAGAGTCTTGGCTTGACATGATATATCTGCAGGGACATATTCGTCGTAGAGGCTCGTCTTCGGCGATCTGTTAAGCCGTCTCTTCGTCATGGTCGCGCCGTGTGCTGGGATACCCTAGGACCACGTTCATCGCTGGACCGGGTCTGATTCATAAAAAAGACACCTGAATTGTATTTGGTAACCCGGATTTCTAGTCTGAAGAAAACTATCTGGCATTCATCGGCATGCCCTATAGTGAGGGGGACGCTCCATTAGAATGGAGTTTCTAGCTTCTAGAACTAAAAACTCACCAACAGCATACAAAAGAAAATCAGAGGTACACGAGCGCGACGTATGCACACAGATTAAACAACGAATACGACGTCATGGGAGCTCATGCCAATTGCAACTCTACTCGCGACAATTTTCCAGAAAAAAACGAGTTCCCACGCACCGGATGCTATAACTGTGCTGTTGGCGAATCATACCAGGACCAGACTGCGGTGCACCATGACGGCACGACGGCATCGGCACGACACGATTGCGACGGCACGACGACGATGGCCTGCACGACACGATCTCCAAAATGGAGCTGGCACTAGCCAAGCTTCTAACCGGTTTTGCACTGAAGCCATGACACACCGTTGCTGGCCTAACTTGTAGTGACAGCACTAGACTACCGTCTGTCCATGGATGGAGCCGCGCGCGTCAACGAGTTCCGACGATTGAAAAGTAAACTGTTGTGCTCGCGTCATCATGCGTTCAATATCTCGTGAGGCTTATAGTGGATGAACGCGCCAAACATGGCCGTGTATCGCAGGATATGTATTGTGCGGTGGATTTAAGGAGCAAGTTAGGCCAGCAAAATCGCATGCATAATGCAGAACGAGTACATGCATGATATGAACGCAGTACAAAAAGTAAGATATGTGAAGGAAATGCTCCACGTTTAAAGATATTGAGGCAACAGCTAGATATCAAGAGATATGTTCATGTTGACCATCAGTATGCTCTTAATTGCTCAAGACTGCTTTAGACAGCAAAATTGCACCGTATATTAAATAAGTTCCTCCATACGTCATCGGTCCATTACGTCACTGAACGTTTGTGTGACGCCAGAGTCGTTGTCAGATAGCCTATCAGAAATGCCACTGTAGCGGACGGGCTGATCCACCTGTAGTACTTCAACCTGCCGAGAGGTGGCGCGGGTACTGGCGCATATTTGCAAAACCCTGATATCACGTGCGCCTGGTTTGTTTTGCCCGTTTTCGTGGTATTCTTGTATATTTAACCGTGATTTTGTCTTGTTTACTTGCATTTACAGACTCGGT